ACGGCAGGGTTGGTCGCAATACAATATGTTTTTATTGCAGTTGTCACACACACACACGGAGCAGTGAGGTCCCCGCGTCTCTCTCCTTGTCGCCGCTCTCACTGCTCTTAAAAAGACAAACACAACGTTAGATTGGCATCAGCTGTGCAGATGCCAATTGCTCCCACCTGGCACCGTTCCCTGAGCCACTCCCCCCTCTCTCCCGCTGCAGACGAGCCAAAACCACGCCCGCCACCACATACCCCCACCGCCCGACTTAGGCCGGGAAGCCCACCGGCCTAACCTACTCCCCCCCCCCCCAAGAGGGCGGGAGAGGAAGTCTGCCACGACCATCTGCGCCCCCGGCCTATGGACCACTCTGAAGTTAAAAGGCTGTAGCGCCAGATACCACCGGGTGATCCGGGCGTTGGTATCCTTCATGCGGTGGAGCCATTGGAGCGGGGCGTGGTCCGAACAGAGGGTGAAAGAGCGTCCCAGGAGGTAGTAGCGCAGAGAGTCCACCGCCCACCGGATGGCCAGGCACTCCTTTTCCACCGTGCTGTACCTGGCCTCCCTCTCGGACAGCTTCCGGCTGATGTATAAGACTGGGCGGTCGACCCCCTCCACCTCCTGGGACAAAACGCCCCCCAGCCCTCTGTCCGATGCGTCAGTCTGCAGAGTGAAGGGAAAAGAAAAGTCAGGGGTATGGAGGAGTGGTTCCCCACAAAGAGTTTGTTTCACCTTCTCAAACGCCTGCTGGCACTGCTCCGACCACTGGACCGGATCTGACGCACCTCTCCGGGTCAGGTCGGTCAAGGGGCTGGTGAGGTCCGCGAAGCCGGGAATGAACCGCCTGTAATACCCCGCCAGCCCCAAGAACCGCCTCACCTCTTTTTTCGTCTTGGGCCGCGGGCAGGCCGCAATCGCCGTCGTCTTGTCTACCTGAGGACGCACCTGCCCGCCCCCCAAGTGGTACCCCAGATACCGGACCTCCCTCCGTCCAACTGCACACTTCCCCGGGTTGGCGGTGAGCCCCGCCCGTCTCAGGGACTCCAGCACCGCGCCCACCCGCCGCACATGCTCCGCCCAGGTGGTGCTGTGGATAATGACGTCATCCAAGTAGGCGGCAGCATATGCAGCGTGGGGACGCAGCACCCGATCCATGAGACGCTGGAACGTGGCCGGGGCACCGAACAAGCCAAAGGGAAGTGTGGTAAATTGGTATAACCCATACGGAGTGGAGAACGCCGTTTTTTCCTTGGACTCTGGAGACAGAGGAATCTGCCAGTAGCCCTTGGTTAAATCCAGTGTCGTAAAGAAACGTGCAGAACCCAGCCGGTCCAGGAGTTCGTCGACCCGGGGCATCGGGTAGGCATCAAACCGTGACACATTATTCACCCTGCGATAGTCCACACAGAACCGTACCGACCCATCTTTCTTAGGCACAAGAACGATGGGGCTACACCAGGCGCTGTGGGACTCTTCTATTACCCCCATCTCCAACATACTAGCCAATTCCCCCTGAACCACTTTTCTTTTGTGTTCGGGCATCCTGTAGGGACGTGATCTCACCGTCACCCCCGGGGGCGTCTCGATTCGGTGAGCTATCAGGTCGGTCCGGCCTGGCAGGGGGGAGAACACGTCAGCAAACTGCTTCTGCAACTGGGCGATGTCCGTTCTCTGGTCCTCGGAGAGACGGGCCTCGTACGGGAGCGGGGTGGGATCAGCCGCTTTTGGCACCTCCGGCCCCAGCTCTTCTCTTTCCGGTACCGCGGACACCAGGGCAACAGACTCCGCCTCCCTCCAGGCTTTCAGGAGGTTTAGGGTGGTATATTTGCGTCGCTCCGCCCCGGTCAGATCGCACCACCTCATAGTCGACATCCCCCACCTGCCGTGTGACCTCAAAGGGCCCTTTGCCACTTAGCTCGGGAGTTTAGAGTTGGAAGAAGGAAGTAACACAAGGTACCTTTTCTCCCGGCGTGAATTGCCGCAGCCTGGCTCCTCTGTTGTACAGTCGTTGTTGCCGTTCCTGGGCCTGGAGCAATTCTCTCGTGACATTTTACCCAGTGTGTGGAGCTTTGCTTGCAGGTCCAGGACGTACTGGATCTCGTTCTTGCCAGGGCTCGGACCTTCCTCCCAGCTTTCCTTAATTAGGTCCAGCACCCCCCTCGGCGTCCTGCCAAACAAAAGTTCAAAGGGAGAAAACCCCGTGGAGGCCTGGGGAACCTCCCGCACTGCAAACAACAGAGGGTCAAGCCAGTTATCCCAATTACGTTCATCTTCGCTAATAAATTTACGGATCATGGACTTCAGAGTCTTATTCATACGTTCCACCAGCCCATCCGTCTGCGGGTGATACACGCTAGTGCGAATGGACTTGATGCCCAGTAACCCGTAAAGCTCTCTCAGTGTGCGCGACATGAACGAGGTGCCCTGGTCAGTCAGAATCTCTCTAGGGATTCCGACTCGGGAGATGACCTGAAACAGAGCCTGCGCGACACTCTTTGCAGAGATATTGCGCAACGGCACTGCCTCCGGATATCGCGTTGCGTAATCCATGAGGACTAACACAAAGCGATATCCGCGTGCGCTCCGGTGAAACGGCCCGATGAGGTCCATCCCGATCCGCTCGAACGGAACCTCCACCAACGGCAGAGGACGCAACGGCGCCCTCGGGATGGCCGGAGCGTTTACTAACTGACACTCCGGGCAGGACGCGCACCGGCGGCGCACGTCCCCCCGGATGCCTGGCCAATAAAATCGGGTCATTATCCGGTCTAGCGTTTTTTCGTATCCCATATGCCCCGCCATCGGGTTATAATGAGCCGCCTGGAAAATCATTTCCCGACGGCTTTTCGGCACCAGCAACTGGGTGTTTTCCTGCCCCGTCAGAGTGTCACGACTCACTCTATACAGTCTGTCCCTAATCAATGAAAAGTGCGGATATGATTGCGCCGCGTCAGGGCGCACCAACTGACCATCAATCCTAATCACTTGGTCGTAGGCTGAGCGTAGAGTATCGTCACGAGACTGCTCGAGTGGAAAATCTTCCATGGAGCGAAACCCGGGAACCGGCGGAGTCTCTACGAGAGGCTCCGCCGACTCGCCCTCCCCGTCTGCAGCGTCGGACGACCTCGCGTCACCGCTGAGCACCGCGCACATACCGCATAACCCTGTCGGTCGTGAACGCACCCCCGCGGCCAGCCCCATTAGCTTATCAAATCCTGGCCAATCTGTTCCCAAAATCACAGGGTGCGTCAGGCGGGAGCTAACCGCTGCCTTCACACTATGCTTTTTCCCTCTATGCCTAAATTCTACGGACACTATGGGATACTCGTGAACGTCCCCATGCACACACCTTATTCTCACCCGCGACGCCTCCACCAATGCCCCGGGCCGAACCAGGCTCTGGTGAATCATAGACTGCATGCAGCCTGAATCAACCAACGCCTGGCGTGTACCCCCCTGGATTCTTACCAGAACGCGGTACGTCGCTCCCGGAACGCCGGCAACCCAAATCACCTGCCCCACCTCCATCAGCGGACACTCTCTCCGGAGGTGTCCGGGCTGCCCGCACCTCCGACATTCCTGCCCTGGCGTTTGAGAACCCCTCTGTGGGTCGGGAAGGGCACCGGAGCGCTCTGCGGTCGGCGGGTAGCGGGCCGGAAGGAACGAAGTCCGTCGCGGGGCCGGCACGGGTCGTTCCACCGGCGGCAGCTGCCCCTCTCGCCGTCGCGCTGGTCGGGCCGGGGATGGCGTACCCTCCTCGTCCCGCTGACCGCTGGGGTGCACCGCCAGGCTATCCTCTGCGAGGGTGATGGCCGCTTTGAGGGTCGGTGGGCGGTGGTATTTCACCCACGCTGCCGTCCGGGCCGGGAGCCCCTCCGCAAACTGCTCCAGGACCACCTTTTCCATTACGGCCTCCATCCCCCCAACGCCGTTGGGCAGCAGCCATCTGTTCGCGGCGTCTTTGAGCCGCTGTCCATACGCGAATGGCCGGTCCCCCGGCTCCAACCTGGTCTGCCGAAACCGCCGGCGATGGTCCTCTGGCAGCAGCCCCAGCCTGTCGGTGACCGCCTTACGCACGGATGCGTAGTCCCGCCGGGCCGCCGGTGGCAGCCCCATGGCCGCCGTCTGCGCCTCCCCGGATAAGAGAGGCAGAAGCCGGACCGACCACTCCTCCGCCGGCCAGCTGCACGCCTCTGCCATCGCCTCAAAGGCCTCCAAAAAGGACTGCGCGTCATCTTCCGCTGTCATGCGATGGAGCGCCAGTCCGGTCAGCGCCGCGGGCCGGGCGTTCGCTGAGCGTCGGCCGGTCGCGCCGCCAGTTGCTCCAGAGCCTGGGCCTGACGCCCCACCTGGGCTTGGAGCGCCCCCAGGAACTGTCGATTGGCCTCCGCCTGGTCCCGCTGGATGGCCGCCAGCTCTCCGATCATCCGACCCAGCGCCAGGATTGGCTGAGCCGGCATCCCCTGCTGCTGCTCGTCGGTCATTCCGCCGTTCCCCCGCTACGTTGGGCGCCACTGTCACGACTGTAGGTTCTCGGGGCGCAGAGACAACACGACACGGCAGGGTTGGTCGCAATACAATATGTTTTTATTGCAATTTTCACACACACACACACACGGAGCAGTGAGGTCCCCGCGTCTCTCCTCTTGTCGCCGCTCTCACTGCTCTTAAAAAGACACAAACACAACGTTAGATTGGCATCAGCTGTGCAGATGCCAATTGCTCCCACCTGGCACCGTTCCCTGAGCCACTCCCCCCTCTCTCCCGCTGCAGACGAGCCAAAACCACGCCCGCCACCACACCTTTATCTTATCTTAAAATCTAATTTTCCTTGCTGCTCTAATAATATATGTGCCAACTTCAAGGGACTATGTTTAGTTATAGATCCTCCTGTCATGTCCAGTGTCAGGATAACGCGTCTTTATCCTACAGCATTGAGGTCACAATCTGCTGGAAGCTGGACTTTTTAAATGTGCTTTCTTTAACCCGTCCGTGTGTTTTTGTGAGCATGTGTGCGTAAATGGCGTCAAGACTGTTCACTGTAATGAAGGAAAATTCCACTTTAATTTTGTACTTTAGAGATGTATACGTATAGCAGCCCTTTAAGAGTACATAGATTTTATATGAATGAAGGATGTTTGTTGTAAATGTTACGGTTTTACCCGTCAAGAAAGTTAGTCTTCTTCAGTTTGGGTGAAAATGAGCTGATGATGTGGTCCAACACACTTCACTTGTTACCTTGACTCAAAGATATGAAATCTCACAATTTTTAAATATTAATTTATTGTGAACTAAGGTGAGGTTTCTTGAGCAAATGGAAAATGAGCTGATGAACCTGTTAAAGTAAATGGGGCCACGCTTGAGGAGCCTAAAATCATGGCAGCTTGTTTTAAATTGTAAAGTTCTCTGCATTTCCTCTAAACGACAAGTCTGTGATTGTGTGTAATTATTTCAATGCAATGTTTCATGTGAATAAAATGTTTTTTTTAATAACTTTTCTGCACTTTACAACACAACGAAAGATTTAGATATTTGGAAACTTTTTAAAAACCTAAAAAATATCTACAATCTGTTTTAAAAATATTCTCCACACTGAACAGCGAACGTAATAAAACCATTACTTTGGCAAACGCTGGTCAACAGTCCCAGAATGCATCAGTCATGCGAGTTCAACTTGGCATCCAGATGTTCTGATAAACGACGCATTGACGTCCTGTGGGATTGAAACTCGCCGCGGCCCGGAGACGGATGTACGTGTGACGGAGGCGGCCGTCACTTTGCCGCCTGGTGGGACAGCAGCTGCTGCAGGTGCTCTGTGCCGCTGCAGCTCGACGGCTCCTCACTGCCGAAGTACAACAGCTTGTGGTAGTTGGCCTGAGGGACCTCGCATAGAACCCTGACCGAGAGAAAAAACAAAACTCTTTGGCCACAACGTTCTTTTTTTTTTTTTACCCCCCCAGAGGGAACTGGGCATGGAAGGGAAAAAAAAAAAAAACAAGTAAACCGTGGGGCTTTACCAGTGATCGATGTCATCTGTTTCGGGGGTCACCTGCTGCCACTGACCAATGGACCACATCCTCACCACGTTGCTGTGGGAGACGCCATCGTGGTCCCGGCCTGCATCGGCGTGCCTGTTGGGAATGTCCTCGTAGCACAGGAAGTAACTGAAAGGGACGTCTGCCATGAGAGACATAGGATTGGGAAAGTAGAACAATGGGGAAAAGAGGGACCACCGATCTGGACTCACTACTCCGTGTCGCAGACGATCTGTCCCTCGCCGTACTCGTCTCTGTGCCGCTCCACGTTCCAGCGCATGCGCTTGTAGAGGCCGGTGTCGAGTCGAGCCAGGTACGGCGTGGGCTTACAGTAGCGGAACGCCTTCACCCTCAGGGCGCCGAGCTGACTCTGACCGATGCAGAAGTGAGACAAGCTGGGGACACAGATTAGGGGAGGGACTGTCACAGGTAGAGCTGAATAAAAAGTGAAGTGGCCTAAAATGAAAGACCTTAAGATTGAGAAGGAGGCCGATAACTGGCCAGAAGCTAAGACAAATTATGGAGCTGATGTGCCAGGAAATTAGGAAGAATATGATTTACATGTAACCAAATACTGAACATTTGATAACCGGGTGTAACGGACTGTAAATATACAGGTCAAAACTTGTGTGCACGCACCTGATCGGGTTGGTCTCGTCCAAACAGAGGACATTACAGCTGGCGTAGGTCAACAGCAGTTGCTCCAACCTGTCACACAGCTGCTGAGAGAAGTCCAACCGCTGTACACGCTACAAACACAAGTTTACACTTAACACCTTAAGTACTGTGAGCTCAAGTCTTCAAAAGTTGTAAGGATGGTATTAGAACAGTGGGGCCCCCCCTGTTATAGTGGGTGGGGCTGGTTATGTTTTCCCATAATTAGGGCAAAATATTTTTTCACTTGAAATGAAAAATATCTAAAGGATCCTTTTGAAGCTAAATCAGGAGGCCGAACCAACCCGAGAATTGATTTCAAAGGCAAAGGGCAGAAGTGTGTTCTGGGAGGCGTGGATTGTGGATTCCAGGACGTTGAAGAACTGCTCACAGGTGTACAGGAAGATTCGCACCTCAGCCGCAAGCGCCTCCCTCGTCAGCTGATGCTGACTGCAAAAAAACCCTGTAAAATACCAGAAATAGAAATCACTCGACTACTTTCTAACTGGATGGCAGCCTACCTGTCGAAAAGCAAGTTGTGCAGGTCATCCGCTTTGCTCATGAGGAACCGAAGCTGCAGCTCCATGGACTGCAGGCTCCACAGGACCCCCGGGAAGATGCAGGCCTCGCTGTCACTGCCGCAGGGCGCGTGCTCGCCGCCAGGCGGCGCCGGAAGAGCAGCGACGGCCAAAAACGACGGCTGCTCCTCCTCTGAAAGGCGAATGAATGAACGTCATTAACCTCCTCCAGCGAGTTACGCCATCTCCACGCCATTATTTTGAAATAATCAACCCATTGGAATGTAAAGCATTGGCGCACGCTAGTGCCGTAGTTATTTGGTTGTTTTAGCAAAACAACTGTGAAAGAAGTGATATTAATAAAACAAATGAAAGGGTTCTGTATTTCATTAAAGCACGCTGTCGCCAGTAGTTTACCTCTCTGCCCGGTGACCTGAAGGCCCCTCCGTGAAGTCGGACTCCCTCTCGGCGGCTCGCGTCCTCCTGCAGGACCCCAAAGGCCCTTTTGTCCCGAACGGGCGAGTCGGAGGCAACTTGGGCCTCAAAACTGAAACCTTCAATGCCCCCGTCATGCTGTCTGTTGTTGATAAATTGGTATGATTTAGGGAATCTGTTGAAAATAATACGCCGAATTAACTGAATGTTTAAGAATAATATATGTCGAATCGCCTTTCAACTGTTTGTTAAAACTGCTATATTAGCAACCGCTATGTCTCATGGATTCACGTTAATGCTAGCGAGCTAGCTAGCGATTCACCCGAGAATTAGCGTTAGAAAGCTAACGTTAACGACTGGACAACAGACGGCTATTTTTTAAACTTAAAGCAATGCACGAAATCAATATATATTTCATCACGCCGCGGTCCGTTGATTGTGACTTTGAGATAACGGTTGAGCTAAGCTACTAGCTAGCGGGAAAGCTACCTGTTACCTTCCAATCAGACGGTCCAATCAGAATGGTATATTGCAGGTGTCAAAGGTCAAAGCTGAAAGGGCCTCTGCAAGAAATTAAAAAAAATATAGCCTTCTTTTTTTATCATTGCTTTTGTTGAAGGTTACAAAAAAATGAAAAAATATCAATTCGTTTTCTGCAGAAAAATTATCTTTTTTTTATGTTGTGTTGCTAAACCCACCATCCCAACTCAACAAATCCCAAGAAACATTTGCACCTTTTGACATGCTTAGCTAATTTTTTTAATTATTTGTAACAAATACGGGACGGAGAGCTTATGTATGATCAGGCTATCATAAATCATTAATAACTTCCCAACACACTAATGAAACAATGTTGTAAATCTATTTGAATCATAGATAGATAGATAGATTGATACTTTATTGATCCCTCAAGAGGGAAACTTTGAAATCACAGCAGCATGTACAGGGAAGAAAATAGAATAAAAAGATACACATTATATAGAATATAATAATATATAAATATTAAATTATTAAATTAAATTAAGTTAAATAAACTAAAACTGAAACAAAAGAATAACCTTCCAAAAGAGACAATAATAAAATTTTGTAAAAGGAGAAGAGGAAGAGGAAGAGCAGCAACATCACAGCAGTACAGGGTTGTTATTGTCATTATTTAGCCAGGGATGATTTATTGTAAAGTGTTATTGCACTGGGCAGGAATGACCTCCTGTATCGGTCCTTGTGACAGCGGAGCTGAAGGAGTCTGTTGGAGAACGTGCTCCGCTGTCCCTGTAGCAGGTGGTGGAGGGGGTGGTCAGGATTATCCAATATGGATAACAGTTTCTTCAGTGACCTCCCCTCCAACACCTTTTCCAAGCTGTCCTGTTTGCAGCCAATGATGGAGCCGGCCTTCTTAACAAGTTTGTTAAGTCTGTTGGTGTCACCGGCTCCAATGCTGCTCCCCCAGCAGACCACGGCGAAGTACAAAGCACTGGCCACAACAGACTGATAGAACATCTCCAACATCTTGCTGCACACATGGACGGATCGAAGCTTCCTCAGGAAAAAGAGTCGACTCATCCCCTTCCTTTAGACGGCGTTGATGTTGGCCTTCCAGTTCAGTCTGTTGTCGATGGAGACACCGGGACCTTCTGCTGCTTCAGGCTCAGGTTGAAGAGGGGTTGAAGGACCTCATGTACATTGTTTATGTTGTTCTAACAAAGACCAAAATATGTGAGCACATTACACCAATTCTTAAATCCTTACATTGGCTCCCAGTATGGCAGAGAATTCATTTCAAAATCCTACTGCTCACATATAAATCACTACATGGTTTAGGGCCAAAGTATATCACTGATATGCTTCCACTACATAAGCCTTCAAGATCACTAAGATCTTCTGACACCAATCTGTTAGTGATTCCCAGAGTAAATACAAATCATGGGAAAGCATCATTTAGTTACTACGCAACAAACAGCTGGAATAAACTTCCTGAAGATTTAAGACTTGCCCTAACTCTGACCACGTTTAAAACAAGACTGAAAACTTTTATGTTCAGCTTCGCCTTCTGCTAAATTTGACCTACATTGCACTTTTAACCTCTGCCTTTAATTAAACAATTTAAATAAGATTTTAATTTATAATTGTTGGAATGCATTAACGATGCATTCCAAGTATTGTTCTTCGAATCTTTATTTCTTCATCTTCAACTTCTATTTCTTCCGCGCCACCTTTCAACTCCTGCGACTTTCAGCTATTAAAATCCTTCAAATATTAAAATGATCAGCTCGATTCTGGCTTGAGGGCTATGACGTTTCAGCTTTCTACGCCTTAAGCTATGAACTTATCCAATCATTAATCGCTCATATTTGAACATGGATCTCAAATGCAGTATGCTTTTCAAATCGCCATCAACTACTTCAAGCATTACAAAACAGAAGCTTCCCAATCTGGCCGCTACAGACAGCATTTACGTCTCTACAAAGGTGGGCACAAGTCTGAACTATGTTTCACAAAACGGGCTGGTGGGCACGATCAGACTCGGAACCACCACTGATCAAGGATAACTAG